GTATAGCATATTACCTGGTGGTAAGTGACCAGATTGGTTGTGGTGGCCCGGAGGTTTAAGACCCGCTACTCATGCATTGTAAGGGTTCGAAACCTACCAACGGTTTGCCGTTGGTCACATTGGTACTTGTACCAGTAAGTTTTCTGAGTTATATAGTTATACTTTCTAAGATTACATAGACTCCACTGACAAACGGTGAAGGAAAACATCGTGAGCAAACCTGGGCTTATATTTTCTAATTATACGTTTTTAAACTGTCAAACACCAAGCGGTCACCGGTGACCGCAACCTATTGTTCTATAATTGTGTCTACAGAACCGGTACTCGACGAGTTAAGTTTAATTTTGTTCAGAATGAGCAAAAGTGGTTCGTCTGTTCAGGCCCTGAATTGTGCTTGAAACATTATAGCGATTTAATGGTCCGGAACAAAAAGCCATTGCGGCACACACGGAGAATTGGGCATAAAATAAGTTTGGATTTAGTCGTTATATTTTGAAGACTCCCGTTGGCTTGTTGAGGAATGAAGGCGGCAGTCTCTTTCGTTTTGTAATTGCTTGTCGCACTCATTCATTAAAGTTAGGGCAAATGAGTTGAATTGTTAGATTGGTCACAGATTTATTACTATACACCAATAAATATTAGATAGTAACTTAACAGAAAACCAGGAGTCAAATAAAAGCCAATTTCAATAAGTTTAAGTGGACACTGGCTCAAATATTATTGCGTAGCTCAAAATAATTCACTTTACAGGTAATTGCGTATTTTATTATATGTAGCTCCCGTAGTCTCTCGTAGTCTTATGGGGTCTCTTGTGTAAAATTCCCATCAAGATACCATGTGATGTGTTTTCATAATTAGTCTAGATTATAATGGAGTTCTATAAATCCAGCTTCCAAGGAATACAATCTTCACCCACGGAAGAGAACCGATAGAAGAAAATTCAAATTTTATGTTATATTTTACTACCATATTTCCCTTACGTCAACATCAGCTTATATGTTTTCTTCATGTTTTATTCTTTCGCCCTTTTCCATGCGACAGCGCTTGACAAAGTACCACAATCTGTTTTTAAAGTTGCGACAATAAAATGCACCCTTCGATACGATCGGGGCTTTTAAGAGCCTGTGAACGATAAATCATAATGGTTTTTATCGGTTTTCGCTACCAAAGACCCTGTAAAGCACCTACAAAAGTATAGAACAAAGATTTTCGCAAGACTAACTGAGAATCGAGGTCAAATAATATGTATTAAATCGGAGAAATGGCTAAATCGGCTTACTTTAATCTAATAGTACCGAAGTGATTTAAAGGATACCTACCTTTTCTTTTTGTGTATCGATAAGCAATTTTGTTACGTTTCGTTGCAAATTCGACTACCTACATCATGAAATACTCAACCCTACCTACAGATCATTAGAACACCTTTTTGCACAACACATTCAGGTAAACCTAAATTTCAAATAAAGAATTCTATTTACCGTTGTACTGAAATCAACAATTTCTGGTCGACTGGACAATATTCTGCGAACTGCATCGGCAGGCACACAGCCTTTTAGTCCATTGATCCGTCGAGCGTAAGACGCTCGCTCCACCAATGCACGTGTACATCCAATGGGTCTCAAATCAAGTTGAATGGAACTCGATATCATTCATTACCACCATATCAGCCAGAGTACATCCACTGCTGAACATAGGTCTCATCCAATGCATGCATTATGCGACTCCCTACCTGCCTATGGACCTGTATGTTTAGCTTGTTTATGTGCGATTAATCGATATGATTTCGAAAAAACCTTTAAAGATGTCCTACACTATCATAACTCATTTAAACAACAGATTCTAAGATAAATGGTACTTATTTCAATATCCAAAACATTCATTAGAATCATACAATAGGTACTTGAATCATATCAACGGATTGGCTAAAGTTAATTTAATTTGTGAGACCCACGATTTGACCTTTGGTTACAAAAGTAATAGGCAATAAGCCAGCGTCAATACATGGGAAAACTTATTACCAAACACCCGGCACAAGTCTAAATTGCGTGCTATTATTGAGAATTCATAAGGTTTACGAAATTGGAAATTATTTGCCTAACAGGACTATAGGACTGTAGGTCTTGCAGAATTAACAATGTATTTAATTACAGTCTAAGGAAATGAAAAATAAATATGTACATCTTAAGATACGCTAAAACTAATAGAGAAAATTAAATAAAAGAATACTAAACATTCCTATTTACAGAGCATCAAAAAATTTGTCCGCATCCGTCCGACGTCGTCGCGGAGAACTTAACGGGTTACTGAGGCTCCGGCTTGAAGTGCAGGAGTAGGAACGGAGTGGTTTTTAATCAGTAACGTCGGAATACTCAAACGCTACTCAAATTTAAGTCGCGCTTAAGTATAATTCTGTCTCCACAAATTCTTTGTAAAATGACAGAGATGGCACGATATTTAAGCACGACTTAAAATTGAGTAACGTTTCAGTATTCCGGCATAAGAGTCTGGCACTCCCTTCCGCCTCACCCAGGCGAGAGAAGTCATTAGATGATATTCGCCCTACAAATTAAAAAAAATCCGTCCGACCTCAATAGGATAATTTTATTGAAATAAAACATGAGATTTTGTTTTAATTGTAGTTTAGTCAAAGTAAAAAGAATTTATTTCTATTAGACCAGGAAGGCACTTTTGAACGTCAAACATAATCCTTGCCACACATGAATAAACCTGTCGTTTTCCGAGTGCTCGCAAGTGCGACTGTGGCAGAGGGTCTCGGGTTCGATTCACAGGTCGAGACCACAAGTGGGCTTTTAAAAAAATTCTCATTATTTGCGCGGATGTAGGAATTGTGCGCAGTATAAGCAATAGGCTCACCCCCTATTAGGTACATGGGATTCATAACAAAAATAGTAAAAAGTGGGTGTTACAAAGTACAATAGCATTAAGTGCCGTAATGTGCACCTCTGCACACCACTTCGGGGATAATAGGCGTGATGTGTTATAAATAAACTTTCCAACAGGGTTAAGCAGGTAACAAAAACGTTCCCACTATTTTGATATCATTTTATCACGTTATAGGTATACCTGTCTCAATTATATTACATATTTAAAACACAAAACCTTATCTATAATTACACCATGAACGGGTCCAATTTTATAAACATTCTATTCTAGAAGATTTATTTATTGTTAAGTAAAACACCTGACCCTTTCAAAGCTTATAACTTAATAAACCCTACATAATACAATAATTATGCTTCAATGCCCTTTCAAAATCGATTCAGCATTACCTTCAGATTATATTATCCTTTTCAGCTTTACAAATGAAGCAAGAACGTTAAGAAAATAAGGAGAAATGTACAGCAATTTCGTAATTATTTGGCGGTACCCTTTTTAAGAGACCGAAAGGGGTCATACTGGAGGAGATTAGTGGGTCGGCTAGCAATAAGTAATTTACGAACTAGAAGGCACAATTTCCTGTCTGCCACTGGCATATGTAATAGTCGTGTGTGTTAAAGTCGCCTTTTGTAAAGGCCTGCGCAAACAAACGAGTTTTGTCCAGATGAAAATCAATTCAGAATAGGGTAGATGACTAATTTTTATTTGAATGTCAGTCTGGTAGATTAATTTAAATCATTAGACGCGTATTTTTTTATTTTTTTACAGAAACGAATGCTTTCGACGTTATATTGATTTGAAATATCGCGTGACGTCACTTCTATGTACATTTTATACGTAGAAATGTTTTAGCCCCCACTGCTAAACTTTGATTCGTTTTATCTAAGAATTGTTTTATTATACGACAAAATAAAAAAATACGTGTCTAATATTTTTTCATTACTTACCTGACGGACTAATTAGATCTTTAATTATCATACCCTGCCATCATCCCAATCGTGACGAACATTCGCCGAAAACCTGTCGCAAAGTTACCACGGTGTATTTTTATGCCTTATAAAGTATGCCGTGGGGAACCAATAGGTGCAACTGACAAATTCTTTTTAAATGGAGGACTAAGGAGGAGGCCTTTGTTCAGCAATGGACGTATGGATGTATCACTCAGTTGATGATTATGATGATGACAAAGTCACAGCCCTACTCCTAAGTTCTCAAGCAAGGAGTTTTGGTTGAATTCCTGGGTCGATTAAAAACAATAATAGATAAAAGCGGCTTTTACGAAGTTACTTTTTTTAACGTTGCCTCGCACTAGGATTTTCTCCTGTGTGGTGGGTGCTTTTACAATACAAGTGCACATACACATTACACCCAGAACAACAATCTGTGGATGAACACAGAGTTACTCCGTGCGGGAATCGAACCCGCGACACGTTGCGCGGCAGCCAGCCACCGCACCAACCGTGCAGTCTTAATAATCCAGTGTCTTTAATACTGTATGACAATAAGCGTACAAGTGTTGTGTATAGGGGTGCCTATTACACAACACTTGTAACATAACTGATGGATCATATTAAATTGCCCTCTCTGCTACATCAGGAATGAAGAAGCGTAACGTTATGTAGGTACATACGTAGGCATTTTTGTTTTGAATTGGTATCAGTAAACAAGGAAAATGGACATAGTAATTATTCCAATGAATTCAAAGCATCATGAGAGACAAGACTATTATTATTTATAGACAATAAATATTCATTAGACCCTTCAGAGGCCAAAATACTCACCTTGTGGATGTGGTATTTTGGAACATCCTTGGATACATTTGCATAATGACAAACCTATACTGTACCTAGTGAACTAGAAACTGTTTAACTCTATCCAAAAAAATAATGATTACCTGTTAATACAAAAAAAGTTAAAAGTTTTGCCTTATTCTTGAAATCAATCAAATACTATTTAAAGTTTTATTCGAATCAAAAACCAAATTCGAACGATGTTGTAATATTTAAAGATGTATAGAAATGTAAACTATCAGTCTGAATATAGCAAGGTCACGGAAAAATAATAACAGTGTATAATTTATGAACTTTTAATTTTATTCATTATAATAATCCATTAACAATATCGAATCACATTTAGTAAAATGTCCTCACAACCATACATTGAGGAATTTTAAACAACTTAAAAACGAATTGTCTTTTATTAAAAAAAAAAAGAGGACGACATAGATTAACACAATGAAAAATTATACAGACAGGAGATTTTGGCAGAATGAAGTTTCAATATATAGAAATTGTACTGAGCCCAAAAAAATAAACTCAAAATAAGTTATAGGGTAGGAAGTTTTTTAAAAATCGTTCCACGATTACCTACTAACAATTATAAAACTGACAAATACCTGAACCCTATTCACCCTTTTCTTTCATTATACTGAGTTCCATATCATTGACCATGCTATAAATTTTCATTCGCACTTCTGCTATCTTTTCTAGTGGAAAATTACTCACAATATCAGCCATGCAAGAAAAAAATTTATGAGTAGATGTTTGGCCACCACAATTTCTATCAACTAGGCTTTTAAAAATTTGATTCCTCTCTTCTCTATCCTTCTTCATTTCGTCTACAATGGTGTCTAGTTTTCGTTTATACGCTCTTTTTGCAGCTGGTGTTACCTTTCTTGGTACAGCAGGGGCGACAGAAGTAATAATTGGCAAATTGTCTTTATGATGTTCAGAATTTCCAGGACTGTACACAAAATTAGATTCTGTTGACGGTTCTTCTGCAAATGCATCGTATTCCTCTTTAACAATTATGTCAAATGACTCAATGTTCGTTGAAGGTGGACTTGAACTCTCATCAGCCGAAATATAGTTCGACGTATCTCCAGCGTCGTAGGCTTCTGACAGAAAGTTCAGCTTTTCATCGAAGTATTTGGAATTCGAAGGACCGTCGCCTGTCAGCTTTTTCTTTTGATTCTTTAAGTAGCTATCCCGTATATTCCGCCATTTTGATTTGCATTCTTCGGCTGCAAAAAATAACTTTAGTTTTAGTTATAGGTACATAAAATAATATAAAATATTAACACATTGATATGATGAAATAATAACACATATTATAATCAAGTATGTAACACTTAGATTACATACCATCTATTTTATTTCCGAAAACATAAACTCATATACACCATAAGTATACAAAAATAAAATAAACAGTAATTATTATACAATAATTTAGTACCTAATATTATGCATCATTTTATTTAGATACCTACATAAAACTTTTTATAAAAAAAAGTTTGTTAAAAAAGCTAGTCTGTATTTAATAAACTTATTATGTTTTAACCATTCAAAACAACAAATTAAATATCAATAATATCAACGTCATACACGGCACTAATGATTTTTATCGGCGCCCAATATAAAGATAACGTAGGTAGATACAAAATGTACACATATTACACAAAACATTGAAAGTAAATGCATACAATATTAGCCACTATTGTAAAAGTGTAAGTTATGTTCACGCACGAGAATGAGCGTTGTAAATAGAGTTCAAATTCCCGTGATGAAAACACAACCAGTGTCCGTGAACATCGGCGCTGCTGTTGTGGGCTAACTTGAGCCGCGCGATCGCGGGGCGACTCGCAAACATCATAGTCGAATAGTTCATAATTCAACGACGTGCGTTGCACATGCTTTTATATATCACAACAATATAAATACATACGTGAATATTAAGATTATCTACAGTAAAAAGATAAAATAAATAGGTTATATCTTACGTGTTTTGTTCAATGCAGCACCGATTTTTATCCAACAGTTGCCCTTCTTAATGATATTCTTGTAATGTTTCCTTTTATCTCGGTATAGTACAGGATATTTCTTTACTTGGTCTATTAAATCGTCATCGTTCCAGTTCATTTTAGCTTATGTAATGCGGAATAAATGGGTCGCGCGGCGCTCACCGTGACGTTGAACGAATATGACGCCGTCGCAACGGTATGCGGTGGCGTGGCGCGCCGCTCCCCTCTCGGTTGCGTTACCTTGCCCCGCGCCCCCGCCTGCTGTGCCCCTCTCCCCTCGTCCCCGCAACCGCAGACAGACGCCAGCTGAACGTGTGCCGCGTCGAGCAAAACCGTACAATATCCAACAATATTACTTCGCGCCGCGCCGCGCCGCGCTCCTCATTGCGATGCGGTGGACTATAACAATCGCCCGGCATAACACCACGCGTTCTGTTCCTCGATACGGGTAGGCAGAGATGCAGACATTTGATGCAACAACCACTTTTCGCCAGTTGTGTTATGACTTATGAGTTCTATTTATTGATACCTACCGTTAGATATTTGATAAGCTGACCCAGCTAATTACCTACGTAAATGTACTCAATCGAAATAGGTATAACAGGACATAATAGTCCCCGGTAGATTGGATTCTGTTTATCATAGTCATAAATGATATAATCAGCTAACAAGAACAACCTATTAATAACCTTCATCTACTCAATATTGATCAAGAATACCAAGTTGCAATCAACCAAAACTATGATAAAAGTAACTACTTAAATAAGTAAGTACCTAAGCAACGTAACTAAATAAATAAAATAGCAACAAGCCAGTTCATTAACATTAAATTGATAATTAATTACACTCGTTTAAAACACGATAATAAATTGAAAAGTGAATCACAAAGTCATTTTAGTTATTTTAGTTCCTTTAACAGAATAGTTTTGATGACAAACTGTTGATACGGGTATTGGTTGCTAAGCGACGCGACGCTGACAAAAATATCGATACAATAAATAGACGCACTTCTAAGAAAGTTCGTCACTGTTCTCGAAAAACCTGAGTCATTCCGTTCACTGAAACAATTTGTTGACGATGGCGATAAAATATCGAGGTTCCTTAATATTATTATATTAAACGATAGTTTTCTACGAAAAAAAAATGTTATTATCTATTTTATTAAACGTTGCCTCACTCTAGGATTTTTTCCTGTGTTGTGGGGGCCTTTACAAACTACAAGTTTACTTACATATGACCCCCAGACCCGAAATAACAGTTTGTGGATCACACAAACAGTTGCTCCATGCGGGAATCGAACCCGGTACACGTTGCGCGGCAGCCGCCGGCCCAACCACCGCACCAACCGTGCAGTCAATTTATATTAGGTACACCAATTTCTACTCAATATTTTAGAGTAGTGCCCCTCAGGGAATTACATAATTTGGGATACCCTGGCTCTCTATTACCGTTTTACCAACCGCTTAGGTATGGTACAAAGTACAAAGCCATACATTTACTATTTAACTCTCGAATTTACAGATATGAAATTTCAGTTTTCATGGAATAGGCCGGCAAACCGGTAGACCCCCGTCTCTGCCTACCCCAGGCGTTATGTATTTGCACGTAGCTAGCCCTTGAGGATTTGAGATTTGAGGAGTTTTGTCTTATTATAATACGTACTATCATAAGTCAAAACTCCATACTATATACACATACCATAACATCACGCCTTTTATCCTCGAAGGGGTAGGCAGAGGTGCAAATTACAGCACTTAAATGCCACTATACAATGTAACACCCACTTTTCATTATTTGTGTTATTAGTTTATTACATATAGGGGTGAGTTTAATGTCATATACCGGGCACAATTCCAGACTCCATTCTACTACTGAGATGTTTTTAAAAAACTTTGACCCGGGACTTGCTCGGCAGATGCACTTGCGAACACTCGACCAACGAGGCATTCTACGTAAAGCAACAGTATTATAATACATACTTAGGTAATAAATTACTAATTTCACCTCTAAAAGTAATCTTCCGTTGGCCATCATGAAAAATGCATTTTATGATATGAAAGTGGAAATGTCACACAGACTTTTAGCTATTTGGAATAAGTAATAAAGTTTTACGAGACTTTAAAATTTCCAAATCATCTATTTTTATGAGTATTCCTCAAGTCATTTGCGCAGAGGTTTGCACGGTGCGGCGAAAAAAGTTATTACCTAAAACTAAGTATAATAACTTGTATAAAATAGTGAGTGCAAATAATATTCTTAAGTTTTGTTACAAAAAATTCTGGCTGTAAGTAGGAAAAATGGTCATTCTGTGAATTAGTTCTATATATGAACGAAGAACAGTAATAGTCCTTTGAAAACATAAGAATAACTAAGTTTTTTCGGTTATTCGTGTGAATATTGGGAAATATCACACTTTCATCGCAGATTCTAAAAATGATTCCTAGTATTTGAATAGACTGCTCTGCTTATCATCACTTAGGCCGCATGGTCGCTTACCACCAGGCGAGATAGTGGCCAAGTCGGCCCATCAAAAAAATAAAAAATACATTAACAGCCTATAAGTGACCACTGCTGACAAAGGCCTCTTCTCACACGGAGAAGGTTTGGACATCAATCGCCACGCTTGCTCAATGCGTGTTGACAATTTCAAACTTATTATTAGAAACTATAAGCTTAGGTTTCCTCATGATGTCAGTCCGTTTGTCAGTGGTGTCGAAATGATTTTAGAAAGTACATATAACTCGGAAAAAGTCACATTGATAGATACCTACTTAATGTTGGTAGGTTTCGAACCCATATGAACATCCATAATAACCTCTTATTATATATACTAGCTGTTGTCCGCGACTTTATCCGCGTAGAATGTGATTCCGGTTTTATTCCATGGGAGCATTTAATCGGGATAAAAATTCCCATTCCCTGCCTATAGGTATACCAAATTTCATCAAAATCCGTTCAGTAGTTTCAGCGTGATTGACCCAAACAAATGAATCCAAACCAAGAAATTTGCTCATTTTAATTATTAGCGTGATATAATCCCTAATACTGAAACGTTACTCAATTTTAAATCGCGCTTTAGTATATTTCTGTCTCTACGAGTTCTTAGTAAAGTGACAGAGATGGCACGATATTTAAGTACTTACTACTTAACTCGTCGAGTACCGTCTATAGAACAATAGGTTGCGGTCACCGGTGACCGCTTGGTGTTTGACAGTTTAAAATACCAAATAGCATACTAGATCTCAATGAAAGTAAATTTAAAACATATACCTCTATTAAGCGCGAATTATGTAAACAAGCTTACTACAGGGTGATTGATTATCTTGAGGATAGGAATGCTTGGCAGCGTGTTGGTTCGGCTCCACTGGACAATACTCAAATGTAGTCAGTACCTAGTTCAGATTACGATAATAGGTAATTTAACACTTTGATTCCGATGAAGGCAATCTATTTTTCTTGTGGCATCGAGCATTTCTTTCTTTATTTAAACAATAGTTTATTTTTTATTTTTTTCTTGTATAGAAGCACTATTTTATATGGATTGTCAGTATACATATGTGAGGACCATGTCAGACTTAAGATATTTGTTTTCTCTTGGTTTTGTTTTTTTTTTTTCACCACTTAAAACGGGTACTGGAAAACAATGGATACAACTGGCGTCAATGTACTCGACTTGCGAGCAGCTCGAGTAGGAAGCGACCGGCAGTTGCGGAACGGACTCCAGCGTTCTTACCATACGTGAAAGGAGTAACCGACAGAATCGGACACCTGCTTCGCCGTAAATACTGCATCAGGACGATCTTCCGCCCACCCGGTCAGCTAAGACAACTACTACGCTCACCTAAAGATAAGGATCCACTGGCTGTACCCGGAGTGTACATAATACCGTGCGACTGTGGCTCGAGTTACATCGGGGAAACTCGTCGCAACATCACAACCAGGCTAAAGGAACATATACGCAGCGTGAAGAAGATGGACATCCAGGCATCGGCAGTGGCTGAACATGTTTGTGGTACGGACGCGGCTCACTTCATACGTTTTGATAAGGTCTCCGTACTAGCGAGAGAAAAATACTTCGTTCCGCGAAAAGTGCGAGAGGCCATCGAGATCAGCCGACGACCGTGCTTCAACAGGGATGGTGGCTGGGCACTGCCACCCGCGTGGAAGCCGAGCTTGGAGTCTTCGTCGATCCACAGCGTCTCCAGTCTGGAGTGTGACACAGTAAGCGTTATATGCAACACTGACTTTGTGCCGAACCCGGAATCGAACCCACGACCCGCGCCGCTGGTGAACGTACCGTGCGCTTTAGCTTCGTCCAACGCGCTGCCGGAGTTGGAAGCAAACGCTCGTAGTGTCCGACAGAGGGCGCGTTGGGCTCGCAGCGCAGGTGGCAACACCGAGGCGAGCGCCAACGCCAGCCAGTGAGCTGCGCGACGTCGCCGCGACCGCGCACGCTGCTCATGAGGAAGAACCCCTCTGTGGTTCGAAACTAGTAGAGCTTTTCTCAGTATATTCACGTGAGTAACCCGCGTTTTTACTTAATTTAGTATGTCTCACGATAGTTATTATAAAAACAATTTTAAACCTGATGCCAATCATATCCATGAATCAAGCTTAAATTTTTATACCCAGATGCGTACCTAGGTACGGCTATTGCCGTCATTAGCCTGCAGAAGCAAGCTATGGGCAGTATTTATTTTATGGTATAAACAGGTAAACAAGCAGGATGATCACCTGATGGTAAGCAATCGGCGTCGCCCGTGGACACCTGGAACACCAGCGGCGTTAACGTGCGTGACCGGCCTTTTGGGATTAGGAATTGGAGAATTGTTGGGGATTCAGGGATTGGGAAAGAAGGGGAGGGGTAATTGGGCCTCAGGTAACCTCACTCACATGACGAAACACAACGCAAGTGTTGTTTCACGTCGGTCTTCTATGAGGCCGTGGTATCACTGCGGTCGAGCCGGCCCATTCGTGCCGAAGCATGGCTCTCCCACACTCAATACATTTTCTGGACAGGCTCTCGATCAGTTTCACAAGCAACCATCATCTGACAAAATACTTAATATAACATTTTCAAATATAGAACAAAAAAAAGAAATAATATACAGCCAGTATTCCGCAACAATAGTGACATAAGAGGTCGAATCCAATATTCCTTGGCCCTCCAATGGCGGAAGACTTCGGGTCGTTAATTATGAACATCTCTAGCGTCCATTAATAACCTTTATTGCTTTTTAATACCGACGTCAACTGTCTGCCTGACAAATACGAATGTAAATAACGTAGGATGACTCGTGACTTCCAAGTTTAATGAGGAGTTAAGGTTCATTCCCGGCTTGCTTTTCCTAAAGATAATAAGGAAAGGAGTGAAGTCAATAAGTGATGAAAAGTCACTCATTCACTCATGTGTTTTAAGGTAAAAGATTCTTGCATCGTCATTAGACTGATGTTTAATGAACGGCTTCTGAGAAGCAAATTGTTATGGGTACTCTTGAAACCAATCTCAATGTCAATGCAATTTAAATTCAATAAAATCTCTATAATTGTTCAGTGTCAAAACTATACAACCCCTATCGTAGCTGTTAAAATAGCATTTAGAGTATAAAATATGAAACCAAACCCAATAGCATTTAGTACATTAAATATCCACGCAATACGGACAAAACAGAGGAATACGAAATTTCACAATACCAATGTCGATCGTTCGGAATTGGATTTAAGAGTAAGCCGCCTGGACGTATTCAGTTCTGGATTTATTTGTGGTTATCTAATTCACCTAAGCGACATTCATCAGTGAATTATTTCTAAATTAGCACCTAGGTACTTAGAATGTTTTTTTTTAATAATGTCTAGATAAATGTTCCAGTGTTAATAATAAACTTGACTCCAATTAGATACCAAAGCCTACCAGAGCAGGTACCTAAGTGTCCAAAATAATGACACTTAGGTATACCCTTTTATAAGAGGTTATTTACCTGCTTTCCATACTATATTTGCAGAGACCTTTACCTATTTAAAGGTTGCTATAAAAAGTATTAAAGTACTTCAGACAGTTTCGGATACTTGCACTTCTATACGGTACAACTTTCTTTCATAATTAATGCATTACTCTCCTCAGAGAAACCTTGTTTATTGGCGTGTAAATTTGAAACAAGGCTTGTTTCAAATTTACACGCTGATAGTAAGCAATTCTAGGAGCCTCCTGAGAATTTTGTAATACCTATGTTTGCGGCTACAAATTAGAGTAAATTACTTCGATAAACGATTACAAGAAGGTTGATCCTTTAGTTTATCGGGTACAATAATTTGTCTAGTGTTGACTGCTTCAGTTCCAGCAAAAATGAGACACCCGATCACAAAATTTTTGTAATTCCTGCCAATACGCGGATCATGTTATCATATATAATACTTTTCTTTTTTCGAATCCCAATTTTATTCGTAGCTTCGAACTTGTCAGCGATGTGAAGCAATTATTTTGTTTGTGTACCAACACAACTGGTTTGCAGTGGGTGTACATTTGTACAATAAAAATTACACCTCTACCCACCTCTTCCACGAATATCAGATGGTACGCCCAATTACACACAAGAAAGACACATTACATCAAAATATTTATCATTGCTTTCGTCGTAAACAGAGTAAACTTTATACAATTTAACGAAGCGACCTAAAAGTTGGAAATCTTACCGCGGCAAGATAAATAAACGTGAATTGATTTTCTCTTAGGCTGGTTGTTTGCGAAAACCTTATTAATGTTGAGGGGTTTGCACACAACCACTCCATGTGCTTTATTATGTCGAGAACACGACCAAAAGATATGCAAATCACCACTGAACGATGCCACTCACTCCACCGAACCGACTAATCTTTGAATATTCTCTACTAGTCACACATAAATCAGGTGACATTAGAATTTTAATTAATAAACACAGAACTTCTACGTCGTCACGAGACGTTTACTTAAGCCAATTAGTTGAGATTTAATTTAATCACACAACATCTCACAAATTACGTTGTCTTGTTACAGATGGGCCAATATATCGTCCCCGTGCTGCTCCTAGCGATTGTGGCACTCTCCTCCAGCAAAGGGAATGTTCTTCCAGTGTCCATAAATGACTTCAACAGAGAACAACTCGGCTATGACAGCCATAACGACAATACATTTAATGATAGATTTGAAAGAAGAAATGTACTTGATCAAATATACAAGATGTATGTCGCACAACAGCTAAAACCAGAATCGGTAAATGATTTACGACCCAAATACGCAGATGAGGACAATAATGAGAATGATGATATTTTCAATATTCTTAGCAAAAACGATAACTACAATGGAGAGGGTTTCCGGAAAGAACAGTGGCATAATTATCCGAGACAATTGGATCGCCTCCACAACTTCTATGGACGTGATACCGACAAAAGGAATTTCGACCCCGACCCGAATAAAGAACGATACACTGATGAAATTGCACCTGATAGAACCAACGAAATTTACTTAGACAGCAAACCTGCTACGAATAATGTCTACGATGCAGTGGCAGCTGCGCCTAACCCTTTACTTATATTAGAAATGCGTTTAGCATGCTTAAATAAAGATATTGGTAACGCCAATACCCAATATGGTAATCTCATAGATACTGGACTAGAAACTAATGTGAGAGAGGACGATAAGAATGAATTCAGGAATGAAAACCCCGAAGTGAGCGTAATTAAAGTGAAACGAGAAGGTGTAACTAGTTCACAAAGTGACGAGTCAACAGGTGAGTATGACATGCTAAAGAAAGAATCATGCTTTATCATCTTATAAAACTCAATAGCAGATAATGCCATTCAGGGACTTACTGAAATATGAAATAATATCAAATCATTGTTGAAATATTTACTTATTCATTGCCTCTAAATTCAAAGATTATCTCGATAACACGACTTGTTTTGATGACTATAAAAATAGTCTTAATTCTTACTAAATCAAATATTTAGTAAACAAATAATATGTTGCAAAAATCTAAGAATGAATTTTAAACATTAACTAGTTGAGAATTACGCAGACAAACCGCCGTCCAATTTCAAGAAGTCTAAAATTTTGTCCAACTAATTTTATTCTGATACGTTTCAGATAATCAAACGCAGAACAAAGCAGTGAATAAAAGGATCTTCTCGCTATGGAGTCGTCTGCAGAGCCTCAACCACAAAGGTCATGAGCTTGTAGCACATCGGCGACATCTACATTCGTTCGCCGGTCATCTTGATTCTGATGGTGGAGGAGCCCTCACTGCAGAGACTCGTGCCACATTTCTACGACCCCCAGGCTCCCCACTTAGATGGGGATAAATCTACAAGGAATTGTTGAAATGGCTTTTATAATTTCCTACTAATTTGCAGTAACGCATTAGTTAAACGAGGAACGTGATAAGTATATCGGATGAAAGTAGTCCCATTGTTAAAATAGTAGCAAAAAAATTGTAACTGGCTGAAATTGGTCTATTTAGTACGACTTTTTTTTTAGAACCGCAACGCTTTTATATGATATTAATTATCTCTGGCCAGTTATATCATTGTCTAGTGATAGATGTGTGTGTTAACGACAAAAATTTGTATTTAAAGCAATAATATTAATTGGAATGCTCACGTTTATACTATGCTCGATTAGCAGAATATAAAAACTCATGTTTCTTTACATGTGCTTGAATTTAATAAGATATTTAATTGAAGAAATATTTAACTCTCCGTTTGTAATAGTTACTCGAAAAAAATATTTTTAGTAAGTATAAAAAATGGGATCCCTTAAAATGCTGAATAGTACAATAAAACGACCAAATGTTTGCTATCGTTTTTGATGGTTGTCTGGTAGTAAATAACAATTTATAACAAATACTTATATTGACTGTTTATACATACGAGAACAATATTACTTTAAGTAGGTACCTATGTTAATCGAATATTAGATTTTAAAAACTGACTGTGGACAGTACTGTACTCTCACTTTCGTTCTTGTGTGCAAAATTTCAATGCTTATTGTCTTCTGAACTTAAAAAAACTATTTGTTAATAAATAATCCATAGAATATATTTATATAACTTCCACGTCTATTGTGTCTATAAGGTTAAAAAAACAAAAAGTATTTAAATAATATTAATAGTGATAATAAAATAATTACGTATATTGCCATTGTATATGTAAATAAAAAAAAGTATTATCAGCTTCCATGTTTTATTTATAACCTCGAAGTTTGATAACTTGAAAATTGGCGCCTAAACAGTAAATAGGTTACAGCGACATCTAGTTGTTTAATGTGGAACTGTTCGAACAAATCAATAACCACAGTACATGACAAATGGAGTTAGCTTTAGTATAATATCTTTCATCGTTCATAAAAGTATCAATCGATACCTATAATTTAATGAAAGTCATGCATAAAACATACACTTGTATAAAACGTAACCTTGAGGATGATCGGCGCAACGTCGAATCGGACTGTCATGTTGACATAATAACATCAACATTGTTTTGATAAGAATTATCACGAAATTATTACATAAAAAAAGTTATTCAAACATCTGACATGGTAAGTAACAAACGTCTATTTATTTATAAAAACCTTGAAATATTTCCTGAAACAAATTCAGGCGTATTAATAGTTAATTAGCTACCTTAATCACACAGGTTAATTTATGTGTCAGTTGTAGATCACGGAGGTAATCACTTGATTGATTTATGGTCAGTCTTGAGTCTTGACAGGCTGTTTGTTGTTCAGCCTGTGTCAGTTTGTAATTAGATGTTTATAAACACAAAACCTCATAGTCAATACACAATATTAGAAACAGCTCGATTATCTATGTAACTTCTTTGTGACATTGATTTTGATAGACCTGGTTATTTTAATTCAAAACTAAACTCCATTTTAGATCCTATAATAAGATTTTAAGTGTAAGATATTCACCGTGTATATAAATAAGTGTTAGGAGGTTAATGAACTTTAAACCTAACCTCAAAATATACGGAATAACTTTAATACCTGTCTATTATGTTTATGCTTTTCATTCATTAGCGGTTCTGTTTTATTGTGAGATAACTACTTAAATATCAAGTAAAGGGACTTAATAATAAAATATATAGTCATTTTAAACACTTATTACGTGGCTAATCATCCGGAATTTAATCATTATTTTAGACTAATTTCATAAGTTGGTTGATTAGTAAAATACTTTTGGAAGCGTATAAATCTTATGATATAAATACGAAGGAGTATTTGTGTCATATAAAAGAACACACTCAAACAAGAATTTACAATTTTAGAACGAGTAAAATAAACGTATCTGAATGTCCCTTTCCTTAAAACATGTTCAATCAAGCTTTAAAGCAAATAATTCCCAAGTACTTATGTCTAGACTAGACACGTTTTATTTGTTATCGAGTGGATCTCGCATTACCACTATCAACAATACCACGATTGGAAATGAAAGATGTTTACTTTGCGACAGTTCAAACGACTCGTGTCGTGTTTAAGATACAAAGAAACTTTATCTAGGTAGATGGTAGTTTTTTTTTGTTTGTTACTCAATCACATCAGAACGGGTGACGAGATCGGTTTGAAATTTAGAACAGGGAAAGATAATAATGTCTGGAATAATACTTGGCAAGCCTGCTTTATTTTACGGACCTTGCGAAATCTAGAACAAATTCACACATAGGACCGCTCACACATAGGACCCACTTAGATTTTAGTCAAATTTCCGTGGTGCTTGGCGACTTGGCCTTTAGGCTTAATTCACTACGTCTCCTGCAGTAATTCACCGAGGGAAGTGGAAACTATCATTGTTTCTCCTCCTCTTATAATATCTTCTGATTCACTTCGTTGCGGGAACCAAGACAGATATTCATGTCCCTGGGACGAGCGCGACTTTAGTGTTCCGGTGTTTTCATGGTTGTATCTACTGTAGATCCTAGCTTATAGGTGTTGCAGTGGTTTTGGGAGGTTGTGGCCGTCTTGTCCCATTAAAAAAATGCTTTATAAGTGCTTCATACTGAATCTTGACACTAAATCTTTTCGTACATACATCTCAGAATTAATAGATAATTCGATAATAGGTAGGTATTACCCTACTAAAGTTTGAATTGTCATTGGCTATGAGAAAAATCTTTACCAATAACAGGCGAGAATGCGTTCGAGCTTACTTTGAGAGTTGGAATTGACAGTTACAGATTAGCCTAGTTGATAATACGTAGGCAATAACAGAAAAACAAATATTATTTAGAAAAATATCTTAAACTCATTTCTAAGGCTGAAAACCGTGCAATTCTCTACGCTTACTGGTTGTCATCATGCTCATGGAGGGTACGGGCAGCTCTGCATTTCAAAGGCATTCCCTTCGAGGAGCGACCAATTGATATTGTCAAGACGAACCAGCAGAAGACTGAACAGTTCCGAGCCATCAATCCTGCGCAGAAAGTACCTGCTCTCGTAATAGGTAAGTCAAGATTTTCATACATATTTATTAATGAGTAAGTACTTTCGTACCTACTCAGTCATTATCTGATCAAAGACTACCACTGAAGATAGGCATCCTCCTAAAAAGGAGGTCCGCCATTTTGCTCACGTTTGGATTAGAAGGTAACTTAGGAACGGCACTCAGGTCATCGAAAGTTAAAAAAACTGCTGCTAATCCATCGATATCGTCAACCAATATGTTGTATACGCCAATATGCACTAACCGGTGATATGCATAATATAAAGAATCTTATGTCTATATCTATTTAGGTACTTAATTGAATAACAGCAATAATATGCAATCATCAATTACCTACTCAATTTATGCCTAATATAGAAATGACGTAAGCATAACAATTTACGCTGACCCATCACAATGCGAATAATGTGTTTAGTATGTACTGTAGTGTCAGCTTATCTTGGCTGATTGTCTCAGAAGTTTATCATTTGTAGTAAAGTACCTATTTAATATCTAGTCTATCTGTCATTTCTAATATTCACTTCAGAATATACTTAATTACTCATTCGTAATGTTTTGTAGGTAGTATCAATCTTATATTACGTTCATGTACGGCGCGGCGCGTTCCGCGCGCGACTCAAAGAGCCATCAGACCACCACGGATGGGGCCCAATAGGGCTGATGCCGATACGGAGCCACGGAGAACCTAACGGGTTACCGGGGTTCCGGCTCGAAGTGCAGGAGTAGGAACGGGGTGGTTTTTCACCCCGTCAGTAAGAGTCTGACACTCCCTCCCGCCTCACCTAGGCGGGAGAAGCTTGTCGCGGAGAACCTAACGGGTTACCGGGGCTCCGGCTCGAAGTGCAGGAGTAGAAACGGGGTGGTTTTTACCCCGTCAGTTAGAGTCTGACACTTCCTCCCGCCTCACCTAGGCGGGAGAAGTCATTCGTTGATTTTCCCCCCTTAAAAAAAATATTTAAAAATTACTTATTTTCCCAATAGAAGTAGGCATTGACAATTCAATTTTGTTAGGTTAATAATTTGTTTTCTCTCTAGTTAGTCTCTTTTCCACATATTATCGCAAGGAAAACCGTTAAAAATTCAATAAACATACACAAAGTTACGTCCTCGACCATAGGTTGGTCCTGAAAATAAATATTACTTCGCCATCGTGACGAACATAATATTATGTCACTCGTTTTCGTTGTAAATACATGTGGGTTGATTGTACTCACAATATCCCAAAAGGGCCAAAAAGTAATTTCCCCTAGGCAAAAGAAATAATAAGTCATTCTCGTCAATTTCGCAGAAGATTTCACTACAAAATAATATGATTAAAATACGCGGACATACATAAGTACATATGTGTTGTTATGTTGAACTGTTTTCCGAGAAAACGTTGATTTAGTTCTGGATTAGAAGGGAACTTTCATTTTTGTGCCATGTCAGTACATACCAAGACAATCATAATGAGGTCTTATCGATGCATCGGTGAGATGTCATTACAACAAAAAAAAATGTGGAAGATAGATAAACGACATCATACGCACACTTATTTAGAAACTAGTGAGTTGTACATATATGACTCAAGAGACACTATGTTGTTAGGATAAAGGATTGAAGTCTGTCTGTTGTATGTCTGAATATAAAAAACATCCCAAGACCATCCATGTCAAAAAATAACTTCTTAGAAAACTATAAAATACTCAAGCAAGTAAAATTCAAGAAAGGTATAACAAATTCCCATAGAAAGTGAAAGTCTACATTTTCATGTACGAATTTTTTTTTCTTCGTTCCTTATAAATGCAATGTAGTGTTGTACATCGTTGAACGTATGATATGAGGTAATTATATCGACACGTTCATGTCGATAAAAACTCCTAATATACCAATATCCGTTCGATTTGATGAAAAGGAAATGAGTAGAAAATATTCAGCTTTTCATGTTGATATCGCTTTATCGATATGTAGGTAGATTTTAATTTGACAGAATGCGATAACTTTATTATGTTTTGGAAAAGGGTTAGTGGGATGTTTACGTGGATTTTCTACTCGACTATACTAAATGATATTACCTGTAGCGTTTATATTTATATTTAAATACATATCAAAAGTGATTTGAAATGTTAGATTTGCTATAATTGAAAATTGTCTGAAATATTTTCGATTCGTAGGTATAACGAAATCATGTTCGATAGCCATTAAGTTGAGTATTGTGTAATCATATCAACAGTAGTAAAGAGGTAGTTTTAATCTTTCTACAATACTTGTTAAACCCTCTTTTGTCAGTTCTGTATTAAACTTTCAAACACCTAGCGGTCACCGGTGACCGCAACCTATTGTTCTATAATTGTGTCTACAAAACCGGTACTCGACGAGTTAACTGAAAGTCAGAAATAGTTGGGCATGCCTGGCCATTTTCTACATGACTTCATTTCCAAATTCACTTTCCTTGTTTCGACCGTATTGACATTGTTGTTAGAACCGTATTTAGAACTTTCCTGAGACATACTTCGAGACTTGGTATGTACATACTAGTCAGAATGTTTCCTTAATATTTACTTAATAACATTTAGTTCTATTATAATAAAATCGGTTTAAATAATGACGCGAAAGTTATCGAAATATCAGATATACCTAATTACTTGACCTGTCGGTTTATATCCAACGGTTTTAAAATAAGAGTGATAATTTGCTAACTTGTAGTCTAATTTCAAACTTATTCACTAACAAAGCTGCTACTGAAAAAAAAATGAAGACATCCAACTAAACAACCTTTCCAAAGAAACCGAAACCTTTCAATGAAAATCTCAGAAACCAAATAGAGAATGCTAATTACTCTCTTCCATATATCAACATTAAGACCCAACCAACAAGTACAAGTAGACACAATAAATCTGCATAATCATTGGCTGACGTGTTCCTCATATTAGGCCATGTTCGGACATGCATTTAGTTCAATATTCGCTGATGTCATGCTGTCACAATAGCCTCTTGGCCCGATCGAGTGCACTTTGGTCCCGGCTAATAACCGGCTCATTAACACGTTTAATATACACTTCAATCACACGTAGGGTTGGCTACGTCCGGAATTTTCCAGACTTGTCCGAAATACAGGTCCTTGTCCGGAATGCAGAGGTATCCTTAGCCATCCGGAATTTTTATAAGTGACTTAGGAATCAAATAAAATACAATTAAATGTGGGTACTCTTAGTCAGTCCTAGGAATATTTATATATACATTTGATGGGCCGACTTTTGACCAATATTTCACCTGGTGGTAAGCGAAAATGCGGTCTACGATGGAGCACGTCGGCCCATAAGCAACCTATTCACTCGAGCCTTGAAGACACCCAGGTTATACTCTACATCACGCTATTGTACAGTTATTGACATTTTAGTGGATACCTCCTAAGTTATGAAGCTTTATTGCTATTGTTCATATTCAGGTAGACTCGACCAAAAGAGCTTTACACAGAGACATCCATAAAAATATAAGTAAGCGAGTGCAAGTCCACTGGCGAACGTGATGGACTGGTGCTCCTCAGCCCTTCTTCGCATGTGCGATGTGATTTGCATATTCAAGTTCATGATGCATAGTAACATTAATTAAAAATTTCGTAATTTTCACCAAAACTCAGGAATTTTCTCCGGATGTTTTGATCTGAGAACCCTAAACACGCGTGATATTTTCACGCCTAAATTTGATTTCTCGTTTCGGATTGATAAGCTGTCAATCAAGGGAATGCGGTCAATTTGCGCTTGTAATTACAAGTGTTGGTCTGTGTTCGATAGTTTGTTGTGAACTATGTTTTGATTGATGACCCTTGTTGACGATTTTGTTTGATTTAGCGTGAATATTTGAGGGTGATTTGGTTATGAGAGCATTGAAATTTAGACTAGCTAGAGCATAATTTAATTATATTTTTTAAGCACGGTCAATAGTTGCAAATTTTTGGAAAGCAGATATAGATTAATTTATATATTTATTACTTAAATGGTGAATCAACAGCTACATTACACAGATTTAACAGAAAAATAGTAACATTGAGCCACTTACAGATTCACACGATTACAGACTTAATAGGTAACAGCTAAGATAAAATTAAAATTATAAATGTATCAAAAACAGTAGGCACACAGCAAGAAAATTATTTATATTATTTGTATATTTTACTTATATTTATTGAAGTAATTACAATTATAGTAAGTATACAAATTCTCTGCTACCTTAAAAACCGCCTAGAAATATATACGAGATAACCAAATGCGAAGTATATGTGGCATACCACATATTATTATGATAAATAAAAATAAATAATTCGTAAACTAAATTAAGAAACGAATACCTTTTTTATCGTGTACTATATATTGTCATACATTGTTTTACTATTTAATTGCATCTACTCATGATTCCTGAACCTCTAATGGACTAAGTAGAAACAATTAGAGGCTAGACTCTAAGCTTATCTATGCCACAAGACGATCTCTTTACTCACAGATATAAATAGAATTATTGGACCCGCATAGATTACATTCTATACTTAGATATTGCAACTAGTTCGTATGGAGTCGTATTTGAAACCTGTTTGATTTAGACTAGGCTTTCTAGCAATTACATTACTTATATTTAACATACCTCTAACATGTTATGTTATTATGTACTTATATTTAATGCTTTACTAATAAAGAAGTTTACTGTTCTGTAATTAAGTAAAGGATTATTGTTCTTTATAAATATTCATAATGAGAGTCAAATCCAAGATGTATATAGTATGTGTTACTACTAATTATACAACAGCCAATGTAGGTAGATATAGTAGGTAATACTACAATTTATAAAACAGCCAAATGTGATTTTTATAATTAGAAATCTTTGTATTGTAACTTTCGTTAGACATACTAAATAAATTATTATGTTTTCGGCTTACTCACGTAGTAATTCGACGAGGAACTCGACTAGTTTCAAGCCATGCTAGCGCTCATAGATATGCCTCTAGCATGGCTTGAAACTGGTCGAGTAAGCCGAAAATATAATAATTTAATTAGAAATCTTAGTTAGAAATAGAATTCATTTTGTTTATAAATCATAGGTATATGTTTAGTATTTATAATTTTTCAACTAACTAACTGTATGGGCTTACGAAGCCTGAAATAAATGGACACCCAAATAAAAAAAAATTGATGTATTCTCATTAACCCTGCAGAGACTTTCAAGAAACATATTTAACTGTTTTATTCGGACCACAAACTATTTTCATAATTACCATTGTACAGAGACAGAACACGGACGGGTACAGAAGGAGATTTAAGGAGACAGATATAAACAGAAAAATTATGTGAAAAATATAACAATTTCGTACAATGATACCATGTCATTACTCCTACTCGTACGCTAAGCCCATATACGATATACATTCGACAACCTCAGATATACATTCTTGATTAATTTGTTTCATGGTTTGAGGATTTCAAATGATTTTCCTGGTACAAAGCTGAGATGAAACTGCTTATGAAACATTGCGATGATATTTTGTTTCAAGAGATTTTGTGTAACAGAAGCGTTTACGAATAAAATAATTAAATCTAAGATGTAGATATAGTAGGTATCAAATCCAAGATAGATAGATAGATAGAAGATTTGTTTTAATTTTCATTCAATAACCTAGAAATTAGTTAAATTTGTTTTCTATACTTTTTATCTATAGGAGATCTGTGGCGGAGTTTTTAATATTCAAAGGAAAACCACACAAATAAAAAAAAAACCATTCCACAAAAACCGAATTCTATTTTCAAATCATAAAGCTGGTCGCAAACAAATGGAATCATTACAATGCAGTCTAACTTGGACCAAAAAGTTTTTAATCCTTGCTGAGTCAGTTGGGATTTATTGAGATGTCAAAAGCTGCAATATTAAAAATTCAAGCATTGTCGTTGGTCCGCGGCCTGCTACAATCAAACATCATTTGCGTGCTTGAGGCAACCGACCGTTTGTTTAAGTGGACCGGTCAATAACTCCGCAAATAGCTATTTAATGAATGTGTCGCCATCTAATATCATCGTACATAGAAAAACTCTGACTGAATTGGTAACAATTTGGGTCATTGAATCCTGTAAAGTGCCTCGTAATATATCTATATGTTTACAGTTTGTTCAACTTTACACAGGCTGGCCAATAAAACTGCTATGTTAATTTTAGACCATCTTTGAAGCAATGTTATTACTAGAGCTTTATTTGAAATGGAAATAGTTCATATTTTCTTTATTAATAAAAGTTATTAGGGCTCAATCTGTGTGGAATTTTAATCTCAATAGATAGGCACCATATTGTGCCCAAGATTATAAATATTGTCGAACTTAAGTAATTTGTTAGGAATATAGCGTTTGCGAGTACTCTAAGTAATTTGTATAAACAGTTGTTTACCTCGTAGTTTTCAAAGAAATGGACACAATAATATCTCCGCAATCCAATTCACTTGGAATATTCTTTGGAAACTTTTAAGAAAATAAGAAAAAGAACATTGTAAACAGAGACATAACGTAAAAATTATTCGCTCACTAAAAAGCCAAGTTTCTATGCAGAAAACTAGTGACGTAACCAATGTTGACGGCAATTATGTATGTGCTTTCAGGACAACGATCAAAGGTAGTACAGAAAACAAGAGCTAGCAAGCACAGCATAAACACGTTTATCACCACACTACAAGGTTCAAATTGTCACAAATGAACTCGTGAAAATAATTTACCACTTGACAGCCTTATTTGTTCATACTTTCCGCCTCGAGGAATTTCTAAAGTTCGCTTAATTTACCTGTAAATCAAATACGAGACGAATTAAGTGAATTATTTGACTGTTCAAGGGACACTGTTAGCGGCGGATCAATGAATAGTGAGACCTTCTAGCAAATTTAATGGTTCTGTAGTCACAACGGGACCAATCAACCGAGTTCCGATCAAATCAGTAACAATTGGAGTGGATATTTTTACAAAATCTTCGCTGGATTGACGCATCGATGGATCAGTGGCTTTACCCACACATACTAGGGAAGTTCGTAAAACATTTCTATTGAAACCAAGAAAGGATTCGTGCGCTTAACAATCCTATGGTAATGTACCTAACCTACTGAAAATGTCGAATGTTGATATTTTTGACAACTTGCTCTTTCTATTTTCTTAGATTTTCGCAAGACATTTTAATTATTTTGAATGGAACATTAAAAATGCACAGAAGTAATTATTTTATTCTTTAATTACAAATTATTCTTAAGTTTTATTTAATCTGTAAAGTTGTTTCTGTTAAGTTAAAGCTGGTGCCGGCACGGCTCCGGCGCGGCGTTTTTTGGATTGGAAACAATACAAAACGGCGCCACCCGCGCGGTACAGCTTTTTTATATATTGATGTTATGAAATATGTCATACGCCATACGATTTAAAGTTCATATTGAAATGACAATGTTAATTGCTAAGGAGCTCTGCCGGAGCCGAGCTTGTAAGGTGTATTCAAAGGGTATATCTTCTATCTATGCATATTCACATAACAAGAAGTCAGTATCTCAGTATTTTCATCAGCTTTCTATTCAGGCACTTTTATAGGCATTTATAATAAAGACGAGCCTTTTATCAAACCTTGGCCCTATGTTAGACTACGTGCTCTCTTTGTGCGTTCCTTTATGTGGTCTCCTATTGGTAAATACTCGTCGCTATCATTTATTTATTGGCTCAATTCAACTCACACTATTTGTCAGCATTGATTATGTTCTGTCAATGGTCAATCAATAGCTATCAATTCTTAACGTCGTGTTTATATTTAAATTCTTCATCTGCGATAGAATTGACTTGTGATAGTTGTTCATTATAATTTTGGTGAATTACTTAAAACAATAATAATTCATTTTGGTGAGGTCCTAACTTGTTTCGTAGTAACTCAGTTAAGAAATCAATAATTGCATCAACACATAACAAGCATAATTGATGGCATGGTTGATGCTGTTGCTGAGCAATCGGCTGCCGCGCAATTTGTCGCGGGTTCGAATCCCGCACGGAACAACTCTTCGTGTCATCCACAAATTGTTGTTTTAGGTCCAGACCCGACATACACTGGCCACCCAGGTGTCCAGTGTATGAGAAAATGTATATTTGTACCCACGACACAGGAAAAAATCCTAGTGTGAGGCAAGTTATAAAGAAAATTAAGTTGTGTTTTCTTGGCAAAAATGGCAGAAGACCACTCACAGTCTCCTATGTTTTTGCTAACAAGCTTTAAATTCCATCGTACTAGGCTGTGATCGTTGAGGTGATACTGGGGACAATTTCAGACTTAATATTAGTCATGAACAATCCCATTATCGTAAAATTATTCTCATATTCTGAAAATGACATTTAAAACGTAATTAGGCAATTAATGTCCAATTAAGGATTAATTGGGATTAATTGCCTTCCCCAACCTCCCCAATCCCTGAATCCCTAACAATCCTCAAATTCCTAATCCCCAAAAGGTCATAACGCATTTGTTATGCCTCTTGTATTTCGGATGTCCATTGGCGGCGTCGATTGCTTACCATCAGGTGATGCGTCTGTTCATTTACCGACTTATCCCATAAAAAAAAACAATATCTTATGTTCAGACAATGTCACATTGGTGGAGTCGATGGCTATCGTGCAGTACCTGGAGGACACTCATCCTGAACCAACCCTGACTCCGAAGACTCCTGTGCTGAGGGCTAGAATGAGGGAACTCTGTGAGGTAAGAACAAACTCAGACCAGGTGGAAACAAAAACAAAAGTCGCTTCATGTGCAAAGCGTGCGTGCTTATGAAATGACTGGGGATCTTCAGGAACATCTACAGTAACCCTTAATTCTTTTGTCCAATTCCATTGTGTATTAGAACCTAATCTATTCAGAACCCATTGGATAATAAATCGGTGGATATAAGCACTGTGACTAGCTCTTAACTAATTACTAAAACTAAATACTTATAGAAACTAAATAGTAACTAAGTAATACCTAATTATCCGCTCCTATCTGTATTTGTAGGATCTTCATAAATATCCGACAAATATTAAAAAAATAGCTTAGAGAGGAGAACAATATGAGACTAGATACACCTATAGCCTAAAAATCCTAAGTTAAAACATGGTTAATAACTTTTATAAAAAGGGTTCAAAGTTTGACATAAAAAATGAAAGTAAATATTTATGATTATGATTATGATTTAACTTAAACGGGCAAGGGGTCTCGGGTTCGATTCCCGGATCGGGCAAAGTATTACTGGGTTTTTAAAAATATCTCAGTAGTAGCACGGAGTCTGGAATTGTGTCCGGTGTAGGGCAACAGGCTCACCCCCTATTACATAGGACTCATAACATAAATAGTGAGTGTTAAATTGTACAGTGGCATTGTGCACCTCTGCCTACCCCTTAGGAGATGTTATATTATGTTATTAACTTAAATCACACTTCATTATATTTTATTTGACCTATATAAAGCTATTATCAAACCCTTTTAAAGAGCGTACTACGCAAAGACAATAAATTCCAGCGTTAATACGCTGACAAAACATAAACCAATAATAAAAACGCTTAATGGCTAAACTTTCACTAACTGTTCTCTGAATTAGATAATTAATTGAATTTATCATTTAACCTGTCTCTGCCCCTATTAAAGGGGAATTTTCGAGGTGCTAGCTCCACTGGCGACACCTCTTTCACGAAGGGTCGGTAATTAGCATAAAGCTTTTAATTGTCAAGGGTCCTTCAAATTGAGTCAGCAAAAATTAATTCGTAAGATTTTTTTTTAAACTTAACACAACATTTTTAGGAAAGGGTTTACGTAGAATCTTTTGTCTTTTCCTTTTTATAGGTACCACTTTTATCATACCTTTAGAAATGATAAATTTTTGTTACTAAGAATTATACTGTTAACGGATTTTAAATCTGATATGTGTTGTGTGAGCTAATAGGTCTAGTTAGATATTGACAAGTATTGGAATTTTGCTATGTTTAAAGGTTATAATAGTTTCTTAAAGTTAGCACATTTATTATAGTATCAATAAAGGGCCAATGCTCTTGGTTATTATAGACTTACACGCAGAACATACACACACTGACACAAAGGACATCTGTCATTTTCTTAAGTTAGGTAACGTGTTAAACCATTACACAGGCACATATAAATAAACCTACTAACATTTTGGCGCCTCAATCATTTCTAAGTGTCATTATGTCCGCCTTCTATTAGTCCTTGGTATCAATTTTTATAACATAATTTTTATCCACAAACACTCTAGTCAACATATATTATTTCTCTATTCTCGTCTATTCACAAAACAGGTGGTAGTCTCTGGCATCCAGCCTCTACAGAATATCGGTCTGCGATCCCAATTCGACACAACAGAACAATACACGAAATTCACAAAATACTGGACTGACCGTGGCTTGATGACTTTGGAGGATCTGCTGCAGAAATCTGCGGGAAAATATTGCGTCGGAGACCAGCTCACGTTGGCTGATTTATGTCTGGTGCCTCAACTGTACAATGCTGTCACCAGGTAAGATAATGGGCATTTTACCTTATTTACGAAAGTTATAAAGGTTGTTTTTGTAGGACTGTGAAGAAACTCATAAGCCCATATAGAGTATATAGTGTAAAAAATAATTCCAACTTATTTAACTTTTATTATTAAAGTCAAGGACGTTCTCATTTTAGAGGATAATGTTTCTAAACAAAACGGAAAGTTAAACCTTAATAACAGTGGTAATTATTTCCAGAAAAAATGTACGCGATATCTCATTCGACAAGCATAATTATAATGTAGATTTTAATAACTTGGGGTAAACTACGAGGTGGGCTTGCGGACCACTTCCCTCGAAAATTGCCGCGAGGCACAAAGCTAACAACCTATGTTTTTATTCCATTACATACTTTTTCCCACAGATAATATTATATCAACTAAGCATATAAGACCTTAGCCATTCTTTTTTCACAAAGATCACGAATATTTACATTCAATTTCTTCACCGTATCAAGATTTAAGTTCAAGAAAAGTTTCGATTGAAAAAAATTACTATGTATTATAGTTAAGTACTTTTTATCTTTTTCAGACACGCGCTGGACATCAGTAAATACCCAACAGTTTCGAAGCTATACGAAAGTTTATTAAAAGAGAATGTTTTTAAAGAAACTCACCCTGAAAGTGTGAAATCGAAAATGTAAAATACTTATTGTAACAAATGTAGAAGCGCGCCGCGGCCATATTAATAATTCAGACGCGAAAATCGTATTGTACTTTCGCTATTTTCGGATTTTAAAAATAACATTTTAATTAAAATGGTATCAGACTTTTCTTTACTTTTTACCGTGTTTTGTTGTATAACCAATATACGAAACAATAAACCAATTCATTTACAGTGTTGCTTTTTATTTTTAGTTTCGTTCCTTTATATTGGGTATAGCTATATTTGAGAACGCATCCACGATGGCAAGACGCAGGAGAAAATTCTAGGGCAATTTCAGGTTTTCTTGATTCAAAACGAAACAAGTATACAATTAACTTTGACTAAATCAATTACACGCTTTATTGACCTCATTGGCCCATATCACAGACACGCACAGATTCAATTCAAGGTTGGGCAAAGTGTTATTGGTCTATTAAATTTCGAAATACTCATAACTGGCGCGCTTCTGTACAGTTGTATAAATTAATGGTGATGTAAGCTGAAGAACGGACATAAGGTAGGGGGACAAATGACCAGATAAATGTCGTAGGAAGCTAAGAGATACTGGTAACATTGTAACATCAAAACCGAAGGAGCTGAAGGAAACCTGTGATCAGCTGCAATGACAACTAAAAGAATTTGTGGACCTGTACAACGTGCTCATATCAAAAAAACATTTACAAGAGTCATAAAACATATTCTACTATGTCAAAACAACACACACAGAAAAATCATAATATTATCATAATCCTGAAATCTTTTAACTCTGTCTAATGTATTTCCATTTCCGTAAACATGAAGCGAAGTTAACAACCCATAACATAACAAAACTACCAAAACGTTTGCCTTTCTCTACAGAAATTTCCAACATACCTATTTATTGAAGTGGTACCGAACTTATATAGAATGCTATCAGATATAATAAAGCAAGTCAGGACTGATTTTTCTATTCAGGCAAAAACAGTATGTATGATACTATTGTATTAAATGTTTACAAAATAACATGAACATTCTTTTCAGAAGATAAGGGTTCCTTCAATAGGATAGTATATTAAATTTTATTATATGTAATGTCCGTCTGGTAGATTATTTTAAAACATTAGACACGTATTTTTTCTTATCTTACAAAATTAAATACATTCGACGATTGATTTGAAATATCGTGTGACGTCACGATTTACTACATTTTATAGGGTAGCGTGATGTAATAACCGGGACTCCTAAACTTAACTCCGTTTTGTCTAAGTATTGTTTTCTTATACGATAAAATAAAAAAATACGTGTCTAATATTTTTTTATCATCTAACTGACGGACTAATTACATTTTTAATCTACTACCCTATTGTGTGCCAATGCCAATGCCGACATACCAGTGGCGTGCAGTCCATATAGGCAAAAAGGCTTTGCTTGACATAAAATGTACAAACGCGTTTATTAAGATTCAATAATAAAATAAAAGTTTGCAAAAAAACGGCTAACATAAATATACATTCACATATACTATACACGGACCGCACGCCTTTGTAAAGCAATGAATGCGCCCCGCACGCAC